GAATGATTTGGAAGCATTGTTTGCCGTTTTTTGTAGATGAATCACACTCCGAATCTTTCCTACCACTTGTTTCGGCCCAGGATACTATTACCCAGTCGTCTGTTTTGGGATCAAGTACACGGTGTGCAACTTTCACATACGTTAAATCCCTAAACAGTCTGTCTGCTTTTGAGAGGTGAGCTGTAGGGTGATAGCCAAGAATCCACATGGAGAAGTGTAAGCATCCCTTTGTCTTTGCCTCCTAATTGCTCTTTGAAGGCGACAGGTTGCACAAGAAACACTCTGTACAAGAGTGACGGGATGTGATTCCTCAGCAGGCGGGAACGACCCTCCGCACCTGCCCCGAGGCCTGCAGGTTCCCAGGTGGCGCTTTCCCTATGGAAGGGCGGCTGCTCCCGAGTGGAGGGGGACTGGGAGCACCCTGTCCTGCTGAGACATGGGAGGGAGACTGTGAGGGTTTTGGGATGCCACCTGCCTGCCACGTTGTTTACATCGCTGGTAAGAACTTGTCCACCAAACGGCGCTCCTGCCGCACGCTCTTCCTCACAAGCCGTCTCTATGACCGCGCCGGGCTGAGCACGGGCCTTGGCATGTTCGGGGCTTGACTTCTTTCCTTCCAGTCCTATAAGTTTTAAAATTTTAAATTTTATTGTATCGAAAATATTTACACTAAAAACCCCTTGGTTCACATGGATGCTCAGTCTTGCTCTTGGTCCGTTTCTGAAGTTCTCTGTTCTTTCCCAGACAGCAGAGTGTTATGGGTAAGGGCTGAGACTTAGGGGTCCAGCTCTGAATGCTCACGCCCCGGCTTTACCCTTGACTTAACGGTGCAATTGCCAGCTTGCTGGGAACCTCCAGGCCGCCGCTTTCTCCTTTGTCACACAGGGATGACGTGGGTCCTGCTGCATAGGGTGCTGGTGAGATTTTAATGAGGAGGTCCATGGGCCGCGTGTGTCACGGTGCCTGGCATGGGGCATATATTTACTTGGACTATTTTTCCCCGGGGACCAGGCTGCGGATGCTTATTTACGCTCTTATGTCATTATCTCGGTTTCCTCCAACCCTTGTTTAAAGGAGGTGGGTTATAAATAATAATTGTGATCTGTTATTCTCTATTTCTAAATAAATAAGCTGCCATTGTTGATTTATAACATAATGACTTATAATGGAATTATGCAGAGTTCAGGTGGACACTAAATTTCTCCGGCTGGGAAGTCTCCAGCTGGGAACCTGGCGGTATGTCGGGAAGTCAGATGATTTTTCTCTGCTGGGAATAATATCAATTCTCATTTTTCAGTGTTTCTAGAACTGTCCTGTTGGCTTACTCATCCTTTGACATTGAAAAAGGAGGCCATGTTCTTGCTGGGAAGCATTACGTTGTTGTGAATCTCTCTGTTACTCTGTGTTTACTCTAACAAAGATGTGAAATGTGCAGGGGCCAGGTTCCTCGGCACCATCTGGAATCTGAGGTGCCGTGAAGTTAATTAGGTGACTCCCATGTCTGGCATAGAGACACCGCTGCCTGAAATATCTCTTTGGAGGATTTCATACATTTCTCTCACATAAAATAAAGGATATTAATTACGGGCAAGAAAGGGGAAGTTAGGGGCAGTTAATGCATCCCGATTATTTGCATTTTGCTCTGTTTTGTCCTGAAAGATTGCATTTGTCCTGTCTCGTCAGACACTGAGGAATGCCCTGATCACTCCGGCCACTGGGGACTTGAAGGTTAGCAGCCCTGGACTGGGCTCTGGGGCGCGCAGGGTAAAAGGAAAACTCGCACAAGCCCTTTAAGATGAGAGAAGAAAGTGTCACGGATGTAATGGGCGTGTGCACCTGTATTAAGAGAACACATTTTGAAGTCACAAAAACTCGTTTTGTTTTTCGAGGCCACCCTTTGACGTACAGTAGAGGGTCACACGTGCCTTTGTGTGTGGCCACAGGCATTTGAGAAAATTTTAGTAGATGTGTCAGAATAAAATATTGACTTGTTCAGATTTTCCCCTGCCTTAAAGGCATACAGTCTGTATTCTCCAAACATGTGTGAGTGTTTAGGTGGGGAGGGGTTGCTTGTTATCCAAAGATTCCGAAAGGCGTTGCTACAGATAGTTTTTTCTCTTATTTCATTTGTTGATTGAGTGGTTGCTGCATTGCCAAATTAAGAGAAATGGATTGAATTTCCGTAACAAGTTGCCACAAAATGAAAGAAGTTTTGAAATTTGGTCACGAAAGTGTTCTTTCTCCTCTTCAAGCCCAGTTTTAAAACGACTACACACGCCCCCCTCCCCAAAGCGCCCCGCCTCCAGCCCGTGATTGTGCCCCGAAGGCCGGCTTCCGCGGAGGGCTGCGCCGTGGGCTCCGTGCGCGTCCCTGCTTCCCTGGAACAGGCTGTGACGCAGGGCGGAGCTGGCACAGGCAGGCGCCTGCCTAGACGGGTGGAGTGAACACAGTGACCGCCGCGGGGGTCTCCTCCTGAGGCAGGGGACGCGAGGAAGCATCGCTCTGCCAGGATGTGGATGAGATCTGCTGAGACGGAATAGTGCTTCACGCTACTGGTAAAGCGAAGGTGTTGCGATCTGGCCTGGCTGGGGGACTTCTGTGTAGTAGCCCCATTGTCGCGTGTCATTTCAGACTGCCCTGTCAGAGGATGATCTAACTGGGTTCAGCTGTTTCAGGAAGTGTGAAAAGGAACACCTCAAAAAGCGTAGAGCACACTGCCCAAGACACAGGCGAGCAGACGAAGGGCATTGTGTTTGGAGCTAAAATGTAATAGATAAACATTACATATCAGTAGGTGACCGATGACTGAGATGCAAAACCAAATACCAGAGTCACACTCAGGAGCTCTGACTAGCTGAAAGCAAAGTCTTAAATATTTTGGGAATTCTTCATTTGTTTAGTAAAATAATTGGTTTCCCAAGTCATTTTCATTGAAGGAAGTGTCAAGGAACAATCTTAAACCAGGAACTGCTTTGACACGTGCTAAATCAAAATCTCCACCCCTTTCCTTCTTCCCGGGGGGAGTTACCTTGAACTCTGGGCTGACTGGGTCAGGGGTGTCCCGGGCCAACGAGGGGCTGCTCCCTACCTCAGTGTTCTGGAAATATTGCTCAGTGTCTCTGTAGAGCAGGGAAAGAATTTGTCTCAGAGCATTCAAATGAAGTGGAGGGTTCTGAATCAATATATGGGATAAAATCCCCTACTCGGCTGTGCCCCAGCTCTGTGATCTAGGGCAAGACTGTTCACTACTTCTCAGTTTTCCCTTCTACAAAGTGGGTATAACGTACCAGCTTTACAAGGGCCTTGTGAGATCAGATGACTTTACCCAGGTAACGTCCTTAGCAGAGTGCTCACCAGTAGGTGACTTCCCACCAAAATTACCAAATAATATGATTTTTAAAGTACAAGCCATCTATCCCAGGATGGATCTGTGCATAGCTTACCTTTGAAATGGTGGGGACTTTCCTTCCCCTGGGAAGAGAGCATCGGCCCCTTTCCTAGAGTTACAGTGAGTGACAACGGGGTGACGTTGATTTAGCTTCACATGCTCAGTTGGGCCTGTCACTTCTAGCCTCCGCTCTGGAATCTCACCGCGTGGGAACTTCAGGTTCATTTGAGAATTCTTGTGGCGATTCATAGTCTCTTCATTTAAACCTCCTTGGCCCCTGCTCTGTGGAGAAAAACATAAGTAATGAGTGTGGAAGTGACGTCATAGAAATGTATTGGTTGCCCTTTCCCACATGAGAAGTCAAACAGGCACAGTGCAAGAGAAGGTGGGGTAAGCCAGGCAGTCAAATGCGTTAACTACATCTATCTAGGTGTGTAGATTGCAAAAGACAATAAAAGTGCTCCGAAACAGCATTAAGTTCAAGTCCATATGCTTCCGTAGAGATCCGAGTATGGTTCTCATTTCTTCCCCCGAATGGCGACAGGGACATTATTTAAGGCAAAGACCGAGTGGTGAGTAAGCACAGATAGACACTTGGTCGGCCCTGGACCTTTCTCTGGCTTCCTCTTTCCCTGTCCCTGCTTGTTACCTGAGCTGATGCAATAGTGACCAAGCCCACACATGTGCCAACTCTGTGTTTGGAGTGTGGGCTGTGAGGTTACGCCTGAGTCAGCCAGTCTTTCAATTTGATCATGAACACCAGGATGCTGAGATTGAAAAGCTCCTGGTGGCTGGTAGCTGGTAGATTAATTTTTCTTGGGTTGATATTTTCTTTTTTGAACCTAAATAAATAAGTCTAACACATTACGTAAGATCAAAATGGTGTCCTCAAATATTTCTTGACTTGAATTAGCGTCTGATCATTTTGTGTTTGCACTTCATCTGGGTGGTGCTGTGTTCTGAGATGCAAGTTCCATGGGGAGTTTAAGATTTCCTGTTCTTTTGTGGAGCAAAGAAGATTCAAGTTTCATTTCTTGGGCCCTCTTTCTGCGTCTGTAAACCTATGAGAGCATCAAATGTTAAGCCTTCCAGTGGGTGGGGAGCACTCAGAGCGACATTTTTGAATGATGTTAATGGAATCATATGACCCAGACATGGGAAAAATCTCAGAGTCAAAGACACGAAACACGTCAGGTCGTGTTTTCTCTTTTTGTGCATTTGTTTTTATTTTTAAAATAACATTGATATCACTGATACAGAAACCTATTCTTTTAAAAGTTAATTTAAAAATCTATTCACTGTATTAGGGTGGCATTGGTTACTAAAATTATATAGGTTTCGTGTGTACAATTCTATAATATTAAAAGTTAATTTTTGTTTGCATACATATTGACATTTTCTGCCTCTGCAGTTCCTGCTTCGCCATTTTGATCAGAAGTGAAGCAAACGTTGATGGTCTCCGGTGCACTTCTGTTTTCTAGAAGCACTTTTGATGTCGAATGAATGACCTAAATAAGTTTGGAGCTAAACTCGGGATGGAGGGCACCTGGAAAAGCGCTGAGTCCTGAACCAGGAAGCAGTTTCCGAGACATGAAACTTTTTTCTCTTGCAGTGAGAGATTCTTCCTGAGGCTGAATAGGAACGGGCTCCCCAAAGCGCCAGACAAGCCGGAGCGACACTGCTCTCTCTTCGTGGTAGGTGGGCCCCGGGGCCCCTGGGGGCGGAGTCTTCCAGCCGCACTTCACATCGTGTGGGAGAAGCGAAAGATGGGGAGCCAGCACAGGGCGTGTGCTTCAGCTCGGTCGGTAACACGCCAGTCACCGAAGCGCCAGGACTCTGGCGCAGCACCCACTGCCACACCCGCGCTCCATCCCCAGAGCCACCCGTGCTCCTGTGTGTGTGTGTGGAGCTGGTCGCACCGCTGCCAGAGCACTGTGGTGACCAGCTCAGCTTGGCCGTTTGACATTTAGCAGCTGCGTAACACGTTTGAAGAAGGAGCAGGAGGCTGACAGAAGAGCAGCCTCTCCCTTGAACTGTTAGTCAACATCGTAAACCTACAGCAAAGTCAAATGCAGTGATTTTAGGACAGGATTTGAGCCAATGCTTCTGCTACAAAGATACCATTAAAAATGTCTGTTGATTTTTTTTTTTTTTGCAACAAACACCTACATTTTATTTAGAAAGGTAATAGGACAACATCATAGAAAGTTCACTAAATCTTCAAAAAGTCACCAGTCATAATGCCACGAAACACAACTCTCACTTTTTGAAGATGGCCTCTAAAAAATGTTTAAAGTGTTCTCCGTTTGTGGGCAATAGCAGTCTTTTCAGGTAGTTATTGTTTGTTTTTCATTCCCATTCCCCAGCCTCCACCCCTTCAGCAACCTCAACTTCTTTTCTATCTTTATAGCCCTGTTTCCATCTCATTTTGTTAATTTGTTTTCCTTTTTTTCCCTATGAGTGAGATCGTACTGTAATTGTCTTTCTCCGACTTCTTTCCCTCAGCGTGACACGCTCTAGGTCCACCCATGTTGTCGCAACTGGCGGCACTTCACTCTCCCCTCTTGCTGAGCCACGTCCCGTTGCGTGTGAGCCGCACATCTCCCGCATGCACTCATCTGTCGATGGGTGTCCAGGCCGCTTCCACGTGTTGGCTCTTGCTAGTAATTCTGCGGTGGACATAGGAGTGCGTCTGTCTCTTTAAATTAGTGTTTTCGTTTTCTTTGCATAAATACCCAGGCATGGAATTGCCAGATCATGTGGAATCAGGCAGCTTTGTTTCGTCTATTATTTGCAGAAATAACGTGCTGTGCCCATTAAAAGCGTCCATGTGAATGATGAGTTTGACAATAACCGACTCTGTCTTTGGCAGGACTTGGGGAGCAGCGAGCTGCGGAGGGACATCTACATCACAGTGCACATCATCCGAATCGGTAGGTGGGACACCTGTCGCCGTGCCGAGGCCCGTGGCGGGGCGGGGGTGGGCCCTGTCGCTGTGATCTTTTTGCTGTCTGAATCAGAAGGCAGGCACAGCCAGATCAGGACCTAAGAGTCACAGAATTTGGACCTTGTTCCCTGGCCTCCCAGACTCACGGGCAGCCTGCTCCCTGAGCACACAAAGGTTCCTTCCTTCCCCGCCGACGGCCTCGCGTAGTTTGTTGTGTTTCTTTTTGTTCTGTTGGACTCCCTAACAATACCTGATTTTAAAAATTTGTGTTCATCTTTTTATTTTTAGTTTTTAGTTTTCATTTATTTTTAGAGAGGGGGAATGGAGGGAGAAAGAGAGGGAGAGAAACATCAGTGTGTGGTTGCCTCTCTTGCATCCCCTATTGGGGACCTGGCCTACAGCCCAGGCATGTGCCCTGACTGGGAATCGAACCAGCAACCCTTTGGTTTGCAGGCCGACGCTCAGTCCTCTGAGCCACACCAGCCAGGGCTGTGTGTTCATCTTTTTAAATTCTAATTTCTGTTCACAGCATAAGTCAAACTTTTAGGGGCCGGATTTCCTGCAGGGTTATGAACACAGCACCCAGCTTGCATTCCACAGAGCGTAGGCTTTGTGGCCCCAGCTTTGTCCACACTTGAGCCTGCTGTGCGCGCATTAATAGAGCGGGACATGCATACGTTGCAGAATGCGTGTTGGGTGCTCGTTCGTTTTCACACGTGAAGTGCCTCTGGCAGCAGGCACTGTACGGCAGAGGGACGAGGTAAAGGGGGATGGTGGGGCCTGCACAGATGTTCTGTGACAGCTCAGCGGCCGGTGCTGCGACCTGGCTCCCACGTGCCGTCCTTGGCGCGCATCGCGGGCGTGGGAAGACCCCCAGGAGAGGACTCCCTTGCCGGGCAGTCGCACCCTGGTCTTTATTTTTGTCGTCTTTTGCTTCATGCTCCCGACAGCACATGGAGACTATAAAACGCATTGCTGTTCCAATATAGGATTTCTCTATATTTTTTCATTTAAAAAGAAGTTCTGAAATCCCATTTTCATTTTATGCTCCTTTTGTATTTGAGGGACAGTAGAAATTTTAAAAAGTAAACCGTTTTCGTTTTCTCTTTACAAGTGAGGATGTGGGAACAACATTGGGAAGGAGGCTTCCACCGCACCGGAGGCCCGGAAGCCTGCGGCGGGGCGTGTGGAGACAAAGCTGCTGTCCGCCCCCCGGGTGGTGGGGCTGGCGCACAGGGCTCCCTGCGGGGATTTTCAGTTCAAATGTGTAACACCGATGTTAATGTGAAATGTGGTTTTGGGTATCTTCACGTGAACATAGCTGAAATTCAAATACAGTTTTCTTCCGCACTGAGAGAGAAGTAGACCACTTTTGCTTTCAGGACTTTTAAAAAGATATCTGCAGGGTCTTGAGAAGAAAACACAGAGCGACGAGGCGGCCCGGCGGCCCTGTCCTTCACTCACAGGGTTGTTGCCAAGGAAACCACTCCGAGGGCACTGCCCGGCCCAGGGCTGCCTTTCCGATCTGTGGCGTTTGATCAGCGATGGCATTTTTCACTAAGGTTTTTATGATCATTCAGTCATCAGAATGAATGTTGCATCAGAGATTACTGCCCGCCCCCCTACACCCCCCCCCAGCTTTGTGAGGTGAATGCTTCACTGAGATGCCTGCGGATGTCTAGAGTGAGTTGCTACAGGCAAAATAAGGTGTGGAGGATTCTTGTCTCTCGGGCCAACACTTTTTCTAGAACATTCTTTGTACCAGCTTTAGCAGGAAAAGGGCACACTGACCCTCACTGGCTTCTGAGAGCAGGACAGTAGTACCTGCCTTGGAATTTAAGCCCGGACCTTGGATTGGAAAGTGGGGGGGGAGGAGAGAAATAAATTGTTTCCTATGCTCCTGCCCGTCCTGCGTTCCAGCCACCGCGACCCCTTTGGCTTTCAGCTGGTTGCGAAATGATGTCACCTTCCCTGCTCCTCCCTTCCTTTCTGCTTTGACGATGTCCCTGGAAATCTGACCGGAACTGGGAACTGTTACTAATTCCAGAGTCGGGAACACTAGCACGGTTGTCTCAGGGCAGGAGTTGGACCGCAGGCTTGGTACCCAGAGCCACGGTGCTGAGAGCCAGGATAGAGACGCGAACATCGAGCATGTGCGGGCCCGCGTGGGCGGAGGCTCCGGGCCAGAGGCCGAGGCAGGCGCCTTCTCGGAGCACCTTCTCAGGTTGCCCCCCCCGCCCCCGAGAATGTTCCCCTCGCCTCCCTTACTTGGGGGTCCACGAGCACCCGCATGTTCTCTTTCACTGCAGCTCTGGCTAAAGGGGAGGGGGGATGAGGCTGATAGGCACGGGACCTAGAAACAGCTGGAATTTGCAGCTAGAGGAGCCCTTGGAATGCTTGAGAGTTTGGGTTTTTTCCCCCTGATAAACTTCTTGGATGATGTAACCTAACTTCGAAATACTCCACTCAGAAATCTAATCACTATGTCATCTTGCATTTTCAAGGAAACGATTACGTACGAAAACATATATTTATAAATTCATGATACTGATAAAGATTGGAGTATACCTTTCATCCTGATACAATCTGTAATCATACTTAAAATAGAGATAAGCTAGACTTCTTTTCTGTTCGAGTGACCCAAGTTTTAAATTTGTTAAAATCAATTCTGTAAGTAAAAAATAGGATTTATTGATGAGGAAATTCCAAGATGCCTTTAATAAAGTATTGGATTTGCAGGTGAACTTTATATGAAAATGTGGGTTGAAGTTCTGTCCCATAGGACAGCATCAGGTCATGAAAACATGATATTTAAAGTGTTAGATTTTGTGCAACTTAGAAGCAGCTGGCTTATTTTGATCCTGTTTTCATTTTGATTCTGACTGATAGAACCGAGAGGTTTGGGGGCTGCTCTCTATAAGCGTGACCATGAAGGTGATATTTTGGAGAGGTGGTTTTTCTGTATCACCCACAAACCCAAGCCAGATTGGACGAAGCTGCCCCCCTTTCCTCCTCCGTGTTGGGTTTGGGAAGAGCCGGAGCCGCCTGCATGCGCTGTGGGAGGGTGTCACTCCGATGGGAACAGCTGGCGCATGGTTGCCAAGAATCCGGAAACCAATGGGCAGATTTTTTTAAAATACATTTTTCCTCATATTAACTCGCTATATTTCAGCGTCAGCGGACTTTCTGCTTTCTGTCTCCAAAATAATCCACGGGTGATTAAATACAGTAGTAAATGAGAGCAGTATCTCCATGACGCACTGAAAGATCTGCCCCCGTTTCCACCGGCGGAAACTTGCAGCCCACACACCCCGAGAGCCCAGCCCTGGCTGAGCCGGGTGCCCCCGGCCCCGCACCCTGCCCCCGGCCCTGCGCCCCCATCAGGAGAGGCCTCCCTGCCAGCACCGCTGCTCCCCTGCTGCTCCTCCGGAGGCTCCTCCAGAGGCTCGCACTCTGCCTCCTTCCAAAGCAGAGCCTTTGAACTCGCTTTTTACGTACGGACACTTTTTAAAATAGGAAAACCAGCCAGAGCCTCCTGGGGACACCCTTGTGAATCTTTGGGAGGGGTCTCCCCAAACGTGGGATGCGCTCCAGCCTTCGCGTTTGCTGGGTGGCAGCCGAGGCCCAGGGCGTCAGCGGTCAGCTAGGTCACAGCAGAGGAGAGTCCGGAACTGCGGCGGCGGCGTCTGCCGCCCGGACCCCGTGTCCTTTCCCCACCAACTGCATTTCCTGTGGACCATCTGGTAGCTGTGTGTGTCTGGGGAAGAGGCTCTACCCAACCGGCTCTGTGACCGTGTTTGCTTTGTGACTGAACAGGTCGCATGGGGGCAGGAGAGAAGAAGAACGCCTGCAGCGTCCAGTACCGGCGACCCTTCGGCTGTGCAGTTCTTAGCATCGCCGACCTGTTGACGGGAGAGACGAAGGACGACCTCATCCTGAAAGTGTACATGTAAGAGGCACGCGCGCGGCGGTGCGGGCAGGGCGGGCGTGGGGGCACGTGGGCCCTGCCTGGTCGGTGCCGCTTTCGGGCGGGCTTGGGCGAGCAAGGGGCAGGCCGGGTCTCCGCGCCACCCCCAGACTCGATAACCTGTAGACTCGCTGCAGGCCTGTGCAGAGCACTGTCGGCCTTTCAGGGGAATTACGACGTCGAGAGCCTGGGGGGCGGACAGGCTCTCAGGCAGCCGGAGCACCTCCTGTGAACTTAAAACCTGTACCTTCCGAGAGTTCATTTGTTCTTCAAGAACTTCAGCGAGGGCTGTAAGAGACATTCGCCAGCCTTCGGACAGGCCGCTCAGGGCATGGCAGAAGCTGACTCTGTCACAGTTCTGGAGGCTGCGAGCCCCAGGGCTGGGCGGCTCCCTGCAAGGGAGAGCCTGGCCCCCGCTGCTCCCTCCCGTGGGCGTTTGCTGGCAGCCTTTGGCGTCCTGTGACTTGTAAATGCATCGCCCACTCTCTGCCATCACCTCCGTGTGGCACTTCTCCCCATATGTATATCTGTCTTTGTGGCCAAATGCCCCCTTTTCAATAAGGACAAAAGACATAGTTATTTTGGGTTAGGACCCCCCTAATGATCTCATTTTAACTCAGTTATTTGTGTAAAGACATTAGTTCCAAATAAGGCCACATTCTGAGGGACCAGGGGTTAGGACTTCAATGTTATCTCTTGGGGGGGGCGGTCAGCATTTAAATTCTGCTCATAAACTGCACTAAGAAGTCACTGGCTGTATTCCAAATCCTCAATTAAGTGATTTTAACATGGTTTGGGCACCCCCCCCCCTTGGAGCACCCCCCTCCTTTTGTTTGGACGTTGCATGCAGCCGTGTGCCTAGCGCAGACCCACGGGGAGGGGGCGGTCCGCGGTCCGTGCTCCTCATTTGAAGACCTTGCCACCGACCACCTCGGGAGCTCGCTCGCTTTAGTTTTCCGTTCTGGCGTTAATACATCCGCTGTACGCTCGTGGTTTTCTCGTCCGTGGCGGTAACGCGAGTGACCCACTGCCTGTGGGATGTGGGCTTCCCACCGCTTTTTCGGTCACTGCTGCAGGGCTTCGTGGATTTATTCGCTCTCCACCCTGTGCCCCTGGAGCTGTGCCACACATTTCTAATTAGTGGGCAAAGATGAGTCTAGAGCCTGCGGTGTAGGATGGGAAACGCTCTCGGTCTCTTTTAAGAGGGGTCAAATTTGTGACCTTGATTTTGAATTTGAAAATGTCTGGTGGTGGGAAGGAAAGCTTGTGCCTTTTTTAATCGCGCACAGGCCTCAGTGTCGGGGTGGGTGTGAATCCACGGTAGACTGATTTCCCAACTCTGCTGGTGGCTGTAAAACACCAGGTATTGAGCCCAGCGCTGCTGATAACGGCCAGCATTTCCTGGGGCTCGCCGTGCAGAGAAATGGTGTGAAGCACTTTGTGTGTGTCCTGTGACTTTATCTTCACACACACATACAAAAAAAAAAAAAAAAAAAGGACGAAGCAGATGCTGTTGGCTCAGTTTTATGCAAAAGGGGAGAGAGAGGCCAAGTAACTTGCCTAGAGACACCCAGCTGATAGGAACGGGCACCAGACCGGAAGGCGGCACTTTCTGCCTCCTACACCTGAGCTCTCAGAGGGTCAGGCCGGGTGTGATTTCATGCCACTGTCCAGCGACGCGGTAACAATAATCTGCTACCTGTTCATCCCAGGTGCTTCGGGCACAGGGCCGGGGTCAGGCACCACCAGGTGGGCGTTCCCGCTCGCCTCGGGACGACCCTGATGGCTGACAGTCACTTGCCGTAGGTTGTCGGGAATGCTAAGGATGTTTAAGGAAGTACTTTGTAGCAGTTATGCCAAAAGGAGCAGGCGTGCTGTGAAGGTCGCTGCTCAATCTCAGGCACTGCTTAACAGAGTGTTAATGTTTTCCCAGGTGTAACACGGAGAGCGAGTGGTACCAAATCCACGAGAACATCATCAAAAAGCTGAATGCGCGTTACAATCTGACCGGCTCCAATGCAGGTGAGTCGGGGGCTGGCGCCTCTCATCTCTGTGCATGAGACGGGAAGGATCTGCTCTTTGTTTTTCTCCCTGTGCCCCCCTCACTTAAAGATGACGTGATCGACCTCCTTGCCTGTCCGTCCTCCCGTGCGGCGACAGATAGGCTTGTGCCACGACTCGAAGAAGGACGTCCCGTTCTGTTTTGGAACGAGGCAGAGCACCTGAATTTGTTCAGTAGTACCAGGTCTTGAGACCTCTAAGTTGTTACTGATTACGCAAAACCAAAGGACAAATACCCTTGGGGCCATGACTGTCGGTGTGGCAGAGGTTTGATGACCAGAAACTCAGCAGGACGGTCCAGGGCGAACATGCCTCACTGCCTGGAGCTGGAAGCCGCGTCGTTGTCCGGAGAACACGCACGCAGGCCCCACGTGGAAACTGGCTCAGGACAGTGACGTTTGCAGGGTCGTTTACATAAAGCGTGTGCACACTTGCTCAGAAAGAACTGAAACGTGGCACCGCAACCTAAGTTACGTATTGGGCGGTGCATGGTCTTAGTAACATGTTGTAGAACCTTTCACCTTATGTGGTGTATCTAGATGATGGAGCCCATATAATGAGGTTTTTAAGTTTGGTCAGTAGATAAAAGCTTGGTGAATATTGTTTGCTTTCTATCCCCCTTTTACCCCTCCCCCCCAAAAAACCTATGCGGTTCTGTGCTTTCTTTAATATAAAGAAACTTCAGACCAAGCAAGCTGTTACTTGAACTGAATGCATTGTGTTTAAGACTGATTTCTAAAGTACCTTATGTATACGAGGTCTGTCCAGAAAATATCCAGCCTTATACTATGAGAAATAGAGACATTTATGGAAGAAGATACAAGATACATCATACACAGGACAATGACACCTCAGTCCCCTTCAAAGGAGGTGCCTTGGGACCTCAAACAGTTCTCCCAGGTGCCATCCCCTGCCCCATCGTATTTCCCTCACTCTCATGGACAGTCTGAAATCTCTTCCCTTTCAAAGGTGATTTCAGCTTTGGGAAAAGCCAGAAGACACAGGGCGCCAAATCTGGGCTGTAGGGGTCTGAGTCTGCACGGGACATGATGCATGGGCAGGCATGTTGGCGCGATGAAGCTGCCAGTCACCAGGTGCCCCTTGCTGTGGCCTTCTGACTCATCTAAATAGTTTTCGTGGAGGAATGTTCAAGCTTAATGCAGAATCTGATGCAGAGTCGTTGCTCCGCTTGCTCAGTCATTTTGAATGCAATGGCCGCACAGCACACATGCTCACCCAATGGCATCTTCCGCCCCCACTGACTCGTACAGTGAAGTCGTCATTGTTCACATGAGCACATTCCACTCCACTCTCCTTGGCTGCCCGGTTATATCAATATTGCGCAAACCACTCTTATTGTATTAGCAATGGCTGGACTTTTTCTGGACAGACCTCACTGGTATTCGTGTTATAGTCCAACTTGCTGACAATGAGGAGAGCCAGAATTTAGGTTCCGAGCGCCTTCTCTTCACCCCTGTGCCCACTCTGGCAGGCCAGGAAAGCTCCCAGGGAATCAGGGACTGCAGGCAGAGACTTGGGAGGCAGTTCAGGCAGAGCCGCAAGCACCCACCGCTCATGCACCTATCCAGCTCTAGGCCTTCCCTCTCCAAAGTCCTGCTCTAGAGAGATGACACCCAGGGAGAAACTTTAAAAAATAAACAACGAGCACTTTACTCCTCCCCCTGAGGTGTCTGCCCTTTAGTGGGTCAGTGTTCTGGGTCCTCCGGGTCTGCCCCCTTCCGGAGGAAGGGTGGGGATGACAACAGCAGGTAGGTAGGTGTTTGGGAGCTGTCGTGCTTTATTATTGAAAAGGAGGTTCTCTAATGACTGACTGTAAAATAATGGAAGGAGCAGGGTCCACAAAATTGAAGCGGGAACCTGGGGTGTCTGATGCCAGCCCACCCCGGTGGTGAGATGTGTTGGCTCCCACTGTTTTCTCCCTGGACCATGGAGTTGTGGATTGAAAAGCAGCAGAGTCATCCGCTGTTTTCATGAGGATGGAGCTCCCTCAGCAATGTAGTGTTTTTTACTGCTTTTCCCCACTGTTCTTTGGTCATTGGTTCTAAAAAAAGAACTTGAAATTAGTTTTGGATGAAAATTCTTAATTTCCAGACCCTTGATGCTTGCTTGATGTCTTCTGTCTCTTGGAGTTGCAAATTTGTCTGCTCAGTCCATGAAGACGTTCATCTAGTTAACTGGTTTTTCCCCCCTCTAACCCAGACTTCAGTTGCAAAGGTACATTAACCACTGTTTTCGTTGAGTTTAGAAACTGGGAGAAAATTGCGAGTGGTCCACTTAACTTTTAAAGACAAAAAAAGAAAAATCGAATGAACAAACTCTGGTTAGATTTAGTTAAGTTGAATAACTTCAAGTTTCCATAGCTGTGCTCTGTGTGAATTTTAAAATCCAAAAGTAATATTATAAGAATGTCAAAGTCTAAAAATATTTATTAAAATGATCCTGGGTCGGGTTTCTTGAGCAAATGGTTATGGTAAATGTCACCTCTGATAGACATTAGCAGGGAATTCTAGGAATGTGAAGTAGACGGAGCCAGTACGATTTACTGAGGCAGATTCAGTCCTGGGACTTGGAATAAATTCTGTAAAAATTGTTGGCTCTGGTTCATTGTGTCCTACGAGAAACTTCAAAATTTTTTCACATTATTTTTGTAGTAATGAAATCCTATTTCCTGTAGTTGACACATGTAGCTTACAACTAGAAGAAATCGTATCTGCTCATTAGGTCGATTTCGACAGTCTTCTTCTGCACTGGTAAGCTGAGGGTGTGTGGTTGCATTCCTGGTACTGTCCCGCAGAAGGTCAAAGGGGGTTACTTATATTCGAACCCACAGTCCACGGGAGAGCAGCTGAACTCCATGCAGGAAGTAGGTAGTGTATTTTATTTGGTTGAGGTGAAAGGAAGCTTTTGAGAGACTTAGAGCACCCTATCCTCACATACTAATGCAGCCATTTAACTCAATATTACTGAGTTGGTAGAACTCTTAAGGATTGTATCCATGCTGGAGGCTGGAACATTGCCTTGAGAAACTTCGCTTTCTAACATTGTTGAAAGTGGGACTTTTTGGCGCCACCTATTGGCTAGAGATACAGTATGTGATTTTTTTAATTTTTTTTTTACTCCCCTCACCTTTCAAATTTTCTATCAAACCATGCCTTTTAAAAGTTTATTTTCAATTAATTTTATTTGAGGAAATGGTGCAAGAATAACACAAAGAATTTCTAATTTCTTAGAGAGGAACGTTTTACTGTATTTGTTTCACCCTTTTCTCTGTGTGTACTTATATACATAGGTATACATGCTTTTCATATATATATATAGATAGATAGATAGGGTTTTAAAAATAGTTTTGTGTGTGTATATGTATATTCACTATATGTAAACATTTAACATTACGAACTCGGTATAACCCTTAAGCACTGCACACACACACACACACACACACACATACATACATGCATGCGTTCCCCCCGCGCTGCCAGGCGGGGTTCCCCTGTCCTGTGGGTAGCGCACTGGTCAGCAGGGCCGCAGGGCCGACCGTTCTGTCCGTTCATCCGCCTGGCTCACGCCTGCACTCGGGCCTCCTCCTCGTGCTCTGGCCTTTCCTCCGCGGCCACATTCCCAGCAGTGGGCCTCACCCTGCACCCCGCCTGCCAGATGCTTGGCCTCCGTCCCTTCCTCTGCCCGAGAGGCCCCGCCTGTGGCCGCCCCGCGGAAGCCCTCTGTGGACCCCCCGGGGCTGACTGCTCCGTGCAGCCGGGACGTAGCCCTGGCAGTTCTGCTTTGAGTCAGACCCAAATACCATACATGCCCTGGCGTCTTCATTTTACAGGTCAGCCACCTTACCCCGAAGATACTATATACAATATTCATAAAACATAAAATAGTACCTGGAGCCAAACTCTGGTGATCGAGTGTGTGTAAATCAAGCACAAAGGAGGGAATAGAAGGGAAAATTTCTGCTCTGGTAATAATGAGGTCCTAAATATTTCAGAAATGAACAGATGTTACTAAAGAGCTGTTGGAAAGAATTCAGTAATACCAATTTTAGGAAGTTTTGCTGACATGATGGTCGTGATATTGCCCTTCAAGTTCGAAAGTCCCAGCAATTGTGTGTTGCCCACAGTGCCCACCTCCCCCAAACAGACAGAGAGCGCGAGCGCTGTTAGGAAGTGAGGGCTTTAGGGCTTCGCTGGGGATGGCACCGGGGCCGCTTGCGGGCCACCCCCCGCCCAAATGGGAGCAACCGTGACTGGAAAAGGTCGCATACTTTAAAAAAGCATTGCAGTCTGAAAGTTTTCCTAAGAGCATACCGCAAATAAAGAACTTAGCACAGGGGGTCGGTGGCCCTTGCGCCATGGGGGCGGAGGGAGGAGACCAGGGGTTCTGCTCCCACCTCGCGCCTTGCTCCCAAAACAGCGAGGGGTCGCCCTGGTCAGTGGGCGGCCGTGCCCGTCCCCAGGTCTGGAGCAGAGGACCGGGGCTTTGGCCTGGGGCAGAGGCCATTCCCCATAAGAAGAAAAACCCCAGACGCTCTCCCGAAAGGAACTGACCTTATTTTGAAACAGAGTCTGTGGAAATTTAACCTTATAGAAACTTAAAAATTTGGAGATTTGCAGGGAAATAGGGGATTTTGGGGGGGAAAAAATTTTAAAAAATGAACAGACTCTCAGAGAAATGTGAGAGATACTGTCAAGCGCGCCAACATACATGACATGGGAACCGGGGGTAGGGGAGGGGCAGCAGGAAATCTCTATGAAGAAATGCTAACAGACAACTTCCCAAGTTTGATGCAGACGTTAATCTACATCTCCAAGAAGCTCAATGAGAAAGAAAAAGAGATCCACACCAGGCGCATCCTAGTAAAAACACTGAAGAACAGACAAAATCTTGAGAGCAGCAAGAGAAGTTCTCCTCACACCCCGGGGACCCCAGCGAGAAAGTCGCCTGAGTTCTTGTAAAATGCCCTGGTGGTCAGAGAGCTGGGAGGAGAGAGCTTGTCTCTCTCATCTCTGTCTTAAACATACGGGGCTGCAGGATTCTCCTGATCGACATGGAAATTCCAGTTCTTGCCATCAGTCCGAATTTATACTGACTCGGTAGTTTGGAAAAACTTCATCATAAAATTTAAAGGAAAAAACCTGGTCTCAGTTTAGTAGCCTGAAAAAGCATTAATGTATAATCATATGGTGTTGCCACTTCCCCGCCCATGGTGCCTGGGACAAAAGGGCACCCGCTAGAGATGAGTCACAATAGGATGATACTATAATCAGCAGCTGTGAAACAATGGGCAAGGAGGCCGGGGAAGCAGGTTCAACCCACAGGCGCCATGGCCTCTGAGAACTTTAGGTAATAAACTTCCAAGAAATGACTAAACAAGAAGTAGTAAAACAGACTTGTGATGAAAAAGAAAACATCCCCAAAAGATGAACAAGCAATTGTCAGATTCATGCATCAAAAGGACTAATTGGGCACCTGTGTATCTGGCATTGTCCAGGGTGCCGGGCACACAGCCTTTAACCAGCAAATGGAAGTCCTTGTCCTCCGTGGTGCTTAGGGTCTAAAGGTCAGGAAGAACCCAAATAAACTTCAAAAATTCTTGTAAGGCAGTCATTGAAAAAAAGAGTGGACTGCTTAACTACCGCACAAGCACAGCTGAAAAGGGAATCAATAAACGAAAATTACAGCTTGACATATTAGACAGTAGCACAAAGGGAAAGTGCAATGAAAAAAATCTGAATAGACATTTAAAAGACAAAGGACTGAATGAAAAAATCAGCAGGCATCCCGTAGGGATTCCAGGTACATGGGAAAACTGCCACATGGGACTAGAAACGTTCGAGAATCTGCAGAACAGTTGCGGAGGCTACAAGTCCTCAGGTAAAAGCAAATGTCGTGAGCAGGGTAAATAAATTCAAAGACAGTTCTGTTGTGGCAGACTCTGGAATGCGTAAGACAAAACTGATCACCCAAAACAATACCCTGCTCTCAGCAGCAGTTGCAGAGGTCAGAGTGTTACGGGATAATATCTTAAAATTCCCGGGGTAATGGCCAACTTTGAATTCTTTATTTCCCCCACTGTTACTTTAAAATGACATTGAAATAAAGAAATTGTCAGATAAAAACGGAGTGAATGTCACATTCACTGAAAGAACTAGTTAAAGAGAAAACACAGAAATACAATTTCTGAATTCCAGAAAGGTAGAGAAGGGGGCACTAAGAAAACCCCATTTATGTAGAGCATAACAATGAAGAAGGAAAAAAAAGCCCAAGAAATAAAGGAGCTGCATTACAACGGGCAAACACAGATCCCCGCTCATCAGATTCCGTCTGCTCGCCTCCCAAGGGTGCATCAGAGTCTGCCACTGGGTCGCAGCTCTGGCTCACGGCGCTCTGGGCACGGAGCCGGCACCCCAGTGTCACCGGCATTCCATGGTCTCCGCGCGCCCGCCCATGCCCTGGCACCTCTGTCAAGTCTCCCAGGTCAGAGCGCCGCCCTCGGGAGACAGGCTTGCCTTCAAACCCTCCGCGGGGCCGAATCACTCCAGCCCCCAGGAGGCTGGCAGTCGCGGGCTTCACTGAGTGGCAGACGAGCCTACAGGAAGGAACGCTGTCTTGGGAGATAGCGCCTAGGGGGCGCTGCACACTTTTTGGTGGGCGCTGACTCGTTGATCCCCTGGCAGGGAGGGCGGGACGGTGGTGAGACCGAGTGGGGGAAGGGGAGTGCGGTGGTAGCGCAGCCAGGCGTCGCCCCCAGGGCTGCATGGAGTCGGCATGAAGAGTGTCTTTATTCGCGGATGGGGAAACCGCGGTCACATGGAGACAGGGCCATGCAGCCGCATGAGAAGCGTTTCAAACTGCATGCCGTGCGGTGACATGGATTCAATATATCTGTCGCTCTTACCCACTTTGCGTTTCTGTAGCTATTCCCAGTTATGTGTAATTTGCTCATTGGTGGCAAAATGGCTGATCTAGTCTGAAATGAGTTTTGCCAGCTACTTGTAAATCATGCTGTGCTTGCCATTTTTTTATGTGAAAGTGCAGAATTTCAAAGGATGCCTCTTCTAGAGTGAGTGAGCTTCAGTTCCAGGGAAATGAGAGCTGCCAAGGAATAGGCCCCTTTCGGTAACAGATACAAAGCCCTTTTCCCTGTCCTGTCTCCATAGCTGAGCTTAGTCATGAAACACATGTTGTTTATGACAGACGCTCGATTAGTTAATGACTGTGGTTTTCTTTAAAGTTGGATATCAGATCATTACAGTTGGGTCTTAAACATCTAGGGTGATTTTTTTTAAAAAAAGTTCAGTTTAATGATTCTTTTGATAAAGGGGAACATTCTTCCATTAACTATTTTGGGGAAGGGCCAGGAAAAAAGATGCTTATGAAACGTGATTGATCTCTTTTGTGAAATTAAAAATTTTACCAAAATCATCAGCTTATTCATTGTTGGATATCCCTGTTTAAAAACAGACAAACAAATCTTCCCTGAACTTTCAAATTCCTTTAATGAATAATACTTTCTCATTATTTTAATATTCCTGTTATACCCTGACCTATTCTGCTTGATATTTTACATATATATATTCTATATAAATAGGTGTGTCTCACTTTCTTTTTATACGGTTTTTGTTGGCTTTATCGGGGCGGCATTGGTTAATAAAACGATGTAGGTTTCTGGTGTGCAGGTCTGTAGCACATCACCTGTATGCTGTACTGAGTGCTCTGTTGTTACGCACCGTGTCTGGCGCACACAGCACCAGCTCCCAATGATGCTGGTGACCATGCGACAGTGTGAGTGGGTATTTTAAGGCCAAAGCACAGCCGTGGGCGGACGGTAGAGACGCCAGTGAAGTCTGCCGGTGGGGTGGTGGGGAGAGCGAGAGTCAGGAAGAAACTGCACCCCGGGACCAAGCGGTTAGAACACACGTTAGTGAGTCTTCCTCCCGCCTCCGGGCTTTCACGGGGACCCCACAGCTGTTGCCGTCGGGTCGTCTGGGCCCCTTTTTGTCCCCCGTGGGCCCAGTCCACGTGGCTCTCGGAGGAGGGACGTGCATCCGCCTCTTGCCGTCAGTCACCCCGGACAGATGGGGAAGTGCGGGGGTAACGGGAGGCTGGGTAAAAATGGGCCGCCGGTTTCCCGAAAGTTCCTGGGTACCTGCCTGGCCTCACTGTGTTCTCACGGTGCTCGGACCCCAGCGCCTGTGGAAGCACGAGGACGCCATGACGCAGTCACACCCGGCCTTCCTCCTCTTATGTTCCTGCCCCTGGGGCAGGTGAGCGCCTTCTCTCGGAGCCTAATGCTTTCTTTTAAAACAAGCTTTCTTGATGTTTCAATGACTCCATTGAAAAGCATGCAAATACACCAAGAAACCCTGGCTTGGTGGTTACTTGCCTGCCTGTGTGGTTGGAGGAGGGCGAGCCTCGTTTAGACGTGCGCAGGCACACTTGACTCCACCTGGTCTCCTCAGGGTCACAATTTGTCCTCGCCGCCGGGGGTGTTTGCTGGTGAATGAGGGGATGGGGAGCAGGGCGGGCGACGTGCTCCGCGGGATCCGGGTTCCCCCTGGGCTCCGGAGGAGAGGCCGTTGGGCTGGAAGCCAGCCTCCCTCTTCTTAGAGCCCCGCCACGGGGCGTTCCTGTTGACCAGGACCTCCTCAGAAATGGGAAAACCCAGGGAGCCAGGCTGCAAGAGTCTGACCCAGAAAGGATTCCTGCAGACTCTGTTGATTTTGTTTAAATAGTCCCCTTTAGTTTAAAACAACGGGGCTGTCACGCGGGCCTGGGGAAGCCGCCCAGCCTCCGCCCCTGCTGACTCCAGCCTCCGCTTCCCCTGTGCCCGCGCCCTCGTTTCAGGCCTAGCAGTGTCCCTCCAGCTGCTGCACGGAGACATCGAGCAGATCAGGCGAGAGTGCGCCTCTGTGTTCTCCCACGGGGTGTCCCTGACGAGGAAGCTGGGCTTCTCGAACATCATCATGCCCGGTAAGTGACTTGAGACGAACCACGTGATGAAATACAGGTACGTTGTATGCCTTTGACACTTGAGCCATGTTTCGAGTTTTGAAGAGTCGCGCTGAAGCACGAAATGAAGTAGGGGAAGCCCTCCCTCCGTGCCGCCTGTAGGGTCTGCGACTGGAGCGAGGGGAGGCGTCACGAAACCAGTTTTCCCGCAGGCTATGGATGCAAACGAGAGTTGAGTTCCTGCGGCGTTTCGTCAGTGTTACAACAAAATGACATCATCCAGGGACTGGCTGTGTGTGATAATAAGCAACAGTTTTTAAAAATACCTTTGTGCTTTGATTACATGAGGGCAGAGAGTCGGTGGGGGGCATGGCTGCCTGTCATTACGACCTTGATCGCAGAGCACGCTAAGGCAGGGTCCAGAGGAACATCACCCTGGGGCGGGAAATGGTAGTCAGGTTGCCTGGAGGAAACCCTGATAGGTGCTGATAAGAACAGCCCCTGAGCAGTAGTCCGCGACAGTTAGCCTGCCTTGGAGGGGTCAGTCACCAGCTGCCGTGTGTGCGATCCTAGGAGGCGGAGGTGGGGGTTCCGGCGATTCCCACTCTTCGCACGTTGTGAGGTTATAAAAATGTCGAACCACGACGTGGGCCCTGGAATGAATACCTCCAGCACAATGTTGTACACCAGCCACGCTTCAGTTCTTCTCAGGAACGAGTCGGGGAGGAGAGCCACGCTCTCAAGGCAATGCCAAGTCGTAGCGTTTTCACCGGGCTCCGCGTCCCAGCCTCCCCACCCGGAGAAAAGCAGGAAGCCTGGCTGAGGACGCCTGCGGTTGCTGATGGGGTTTGTGGGGGGACATGCTCGCAGTGGCTGTGTCAGCCCATGTGTAACGGCGGCGGGCCCGGCCGGCCGGGCTGTGAGAGGCCGGCAGGAGGACCCAGCCCGGCGCAGGCACGGCCGGCATGGGCCGCTGCGGCCTTCCGCTTGTGTGTGAGCTCCCGGGGGAATCTGCTCACACCCGGCGGCTGGGAGCACAGCCCGAGGAGGTTCTGGGTCGGACCCAGCTCAGGGGCCGTCCCACGCACTGCTGTCAAAGGCCGCTGTCTATGGAACTGGAAACCCGGCGGCAGGCCGTTCGGCTGCTCTTTCCTTCAGGTGCTGTAAATAACTGGTATTTCCTCTTTAACAAAAAAGAAAAAAATGTCATCCTGCTGGGAAGCAAATTGATGGGCAAATCTAATATAAAAACATACTCAGGCACAGGGTGCAGCCAGCCGCTGGGAGAACCCCGCAGCCCGATCTCCGGGTAGCACCGCTGAGCCTTGGAAGCCACAAAGCAGCGTGGCCTCCGCCGGCGAGTAATGCCTGGGCTCTGCCTGTTCGGCAGCTTCAGTCCGGCCCTCATGATGGAAGTGAACTTGCCGTGGGATGAGGCTGCACTGTATCCTAACGGCGAGGCCCCCACTGCCGAGGGGGCTGCCCTCCCAGATGCGAGTCTGCAGTGCTGAGAAGGCGTTTTTTGTTTGTTTGTTTGTTTGTTTGTTTTTTAAAGTAATACCTTCTTTTTCTTCTTTGGCTTCTTCATTTTCCAAAATCGATGGAGAAGGGAGAGATGTATGTATTTACTTTACGTGAACAGCTGAAGCACCTTTCACAGTGAATGAAATGTTTTCCATCGGCAAACACGCGGCCATTGCTTCATTTTCCTTTGTTGTTTCCAGAACTTTGTTGTGCCCGTTCACTCTCACTGGCGGTGCTACTGAAAACTCGAGCTGAATTGCTCCGTGAGGAAGTAAGTGCACGTCACCAGCGTCTCTGGTCCTGGTGTTGCACCGGCGGTCGGCTCACCTGATGCTTTTATTCTTTGCATTTGCCAGACCTGACCTTCAGGGTTCGTTTGTGACCTGTTAGGGGTCAGGACGGGGGGAGGCAGGTGCTTGTAGCGGCAGAACCGGGTACATCGGCGCTCGCTGCCTCTCTGCAAAACAAAGTAACCGTGGTCCCGACACTGAGGGAAACATACACAAAACTCTTCTTGAGGATCAGGGAACAGGACAAACGAGGAAACAAATTGTCCCGTTGGCCTCTCCTGGTAGAGGAGGGGGTCTGCCCAGGAGCTTACCTGCTACTGTGAAGCCCTTCCAGCTCCCCCTGCGGCTGAGGGTCGGCACCTTAGCGTGTCCGATTTCCAAAGAGGAAATGTCACTTTCTGTCACGCCACCTCTGAACCAAGGAAGTGCAGAAAATCCCATGTTCTGGTGCTGGGGCCGGTGAGAGGAGCGGCAAACGTCTGGCAATCAGTCAGTCTCCTCAGCAGGAATGTGATGTCAGCCACAAACTTTTTACATTTTGTAGTAGCCACATTAAAAAATTAGGAAGAGGTGAAGTGAAATTGATGACTTGTTCTACTTAACTCAACACCTCCCAAATATTTCAGCCGGTAGTCCGTACGAAATGGCCTTCCCGAGTCATTCTGCACCCCTCTCTCAGCCTGGGCCTCTGAGGGCTGCCCGTGCTGGGCAGTCATCACCTCTCTGGCTCAGCCCAGTCCCCTGTCGGGGGCGCAGCGGCCACACGTGGCCGTGGTGGCTGCATCGGACGGCCAGCTCTAAATGCCTTAACAGACGCCGTGCAGAGCAGCGCCCGGGCTGGCGCCGAGCGTCAGGAAGGACAGCGGTTCCGCCCCGCAGGCATTTGGGAGCCCAGCTGGCCGATGAGTCAGGGATGTCCTGGGAGGTCAGGCCGTGCCCTCCCCTGACCCCGAGGATCTGTTCTGACTCTGGGTTTATCATTCTTTCCACACGTGTTCTCACCGTGTTCTCAAAGCTGCTCTCCCTGCTCCGTCTTCCCACCTGTCCCCTGTCTCCCTGGACACCTGGTCTCACACGTCAGCTGGTTCAACTGTCCTTGTTTTTAAAGTTCCCTGACCTCTCTTGTCTCACCTCATCCCTCCTCTGATGGGTTCTGAGTCTGGGCTCCTGTCCGCGGCCAGGATGGCACCATTTCTGCCCATCCGTGTCCTGGAAGGACGGTCCCAGAGCTGAACCCAGGGCTTTGGGGTCCGGCCCGGCCGCGCAGGGCAGGGGAGGACTGACACATTCGGGGCCCCGCCGCGCGGCTGCAGGTGACAGGGCTGCACAGCGCCAGCTTCCCGGATGGCCGGTCTCATCCTGCTGAATTCCACATTGACGAGCAAAGCGGGGATGATGAGAACACCTGCCGCACATTTCCTGATCGCCGCGCTTCCGCTGCCGTTTCCTCATCTTCCGAATGAGAACAGTAAGGCCTTCGTATGAAGCGGAGGCGAGGCGGCGTTCGGCTCACAGCACTGGGCCCGGTGCCCAAGCCACTGCTCTCTGCCACCACCACCACCCTTACCGGCGTCGTCTGAGTTCACGCACATACCAAACAAAGCAAAAACACTTAGTTGTTTACACAAGCTACTTTTTAAGTTTTATTTACTGATTTTTAAAGAGAAAGGAAGAAGGGGAGAGAGAAAAAACATTAATTTGTTGTCCATGTATTTATGCATTTTTTGGTTGATTTTTGTATGTGCCCTGACCAGGGACCGAACCTGCAACCTTGGCACATCGAGTTAATGTTATTACCCACTGAGCTACCCAGCCAAGGCACAGTTTCTTCTGTTTTTAATGGAAGGACAAGAACTTTCCTTTTCCAGCTCCATCAATATCGCCAAATATCCAGCACAGCCAAGGCCTGGGGCCAGCCGCTGTGGCCGGGCGCGGCAGACTCCTTGATGGGGTGGCACGCCCCGTGGCTGAATCCAGGGCATTCGTGGGGCAGAGCCAAGGATCAGGGCTTTGGCTGCTGATGGGAAGCCTCTTGTCTGCTGAGGTCCAGCCATAAATTGACCGCCTGCAGTTGCAGTCACTGAACTCTTGAATTTTCTGTGTCCTTGGCTTTATCTTGTCTTCAAACGTGTAAAGGCTTCCCAGCCAGTGGGCCTCCTGACCAGAGGAAAGAGGGGCAGGTCGGATTCACAGAGGAGGGTACCTGAGGTAAACATTGCCAGGAAAATGGCTTTCTGCGCTGGTGCTGGGTCCATTTCATGCTGTTTTCCCCCTTCATTACCCAAGATGCTTCCTTAACACCATTTGGGCTTATTAGTTTTCTCCAGAGCCAGCCTCAAGCATATTGATGTTAATTAGCACTTGTTTCAGCTTCATCCTTCTGCATACTTTGGCAACGCGGCACCTTGCACCGTTGGAACAGAGCGAGCCGCGGAATTCCTGGGGAGACATGGCTCAAACGTCTTCCAGGAGCAGCCTCTGTCTGCCCTCTGTTCTCCTTTCAAAGGAATCTTAGTTTAGCCTAAAAACTTTGCGGAAGATAAAGGGGGTTACAGGCTTAGCGACAATTAGGGGACAGAAAAGTAGGCATATGTGTAAGGAGTTTTAATTTACAATTGTGTTCTAGTCCAGAAGTTCTTCTGTTAGTCATACAAACGACATGATGTGTAAGTGGTCTTGTCCCTTCTTCCCTCTCCCATCCCTGCCTCTGCCTCTACCCTCCCCTCCCCCATCTTAAGAACATAAAAACTTGGGGCCCAGAGCTTTATAGTCCCCTGTCTAGACTAAGGTCCCACAGAGTAGACAGCAGCAGAGAGAGAGCCTTGAATCCAAGTGTCCTTATTCCAGTTTCTTTTGACCCTATATCCTTTGGGCTTATTTGACCTCATAACCTTCTGAATTCAGAAGAAACAGAAGAATCCAGCTAAATTACAAGCAAAATAGTCTGTAGGGGCTGGCTTGGGATGCTGACGCCGTTTTTAATTTGCTCCTTTGCCAAAACGCTCCGCAGCTGACACACATCTCTCGTCGTCTTGGTGAGGCTTCTCTCTCGGGCTCCCCCACAGGCCTCCCCCCCCCGCCCCCCGCTGCCTGTATCCATGGGACATATCACCATCCAACGCACCATATACTCTCCTCTGTGCGAGACCTCCCCTGCTAGAGTCGGCTCTGGAGAGGGGCCTCGTGCTGAGCTCACTGCGGAAGCCGGCATAACTTGGCAACATAGGAGGTGCTGGAGATCTGTCTGCTGAATGTACACACAGAGAAAGCGTCCAGTGATGCTGGCGGCGTGGGCTCTGCCCAAGTTCTGTCCCCACCGCGGGCCCAGCCCACGGTGGAAAACAGGTCACCCCGCAAACCGCTCCCTGCCCCCCCCCCCCGCCCCCGCGCAAGGCAGAGTGGCCCTGTCCTTCTGACAGATGATCATGGAGGTCCCCTCCCAGGAAACGCTCTTCCTTTTGTGGGTGCTCGAGCCCCCCGAGGTGTGGATGAGCTTGTTACTATGAGGCAGGCCCGAGGCTCAGTGCCCTGAGGCGGCCGTCCCTGTGCATCCGCTGCACTTCCCAGTCTGTCTGTAAGCAGCGCGCTCTGACCTACGCAGGGGGGTGTTGCTGCTGTTGGCTATAACACCTTTTGCTCTAAAGTACCTTGATTTGCATGCTCGTTTACCTGCCAGATCTATGAGCACAGAGGCTCTTGTCAAGAATTTCCTCCCACGCATATTGTCGAAATAGTTCATGTGCAGACCATTACTGTGCCAGGCCGATTTTGAGTTGAAATTGATGGATTCAGAGGACAAAGTTTGTGGGTTTGCTCTTCCTTTTATAGTGAAGTTGTTGAAATAAACAGCATTAAAAATGTCTGGTAGTGTGTGTAGTGATGAATACATACAGCAATAAAATTGCATTGTTAAAATCGAGCACACTTGTAAAATTTACAAAACTTGTAAAAAATGGAATGGTTAAAAACAAAAACCTTTCAAAGCATTCAAATATAATTTAAATATGTCAAAATATGTGGCTTTTCTTCTGCAATTCCAAGTTTGTTGCCTTCCCAAGTTGCTTTGTATGAGCTGTATGAGAGTAGTAGAAATTTATAAGACAGCGATCACTGTATCCATTGCTTCCACAAATGTATTTTTTTATATACTCCTTGTAAGGGGTGGTTAAGATTTATTTCATCCTTTTTGAGGAAATATTGCCGTCTTCAACAGCAGGGATGGATCTTAAGAGTATTATACTAACTGAAATAAGTCATATGGAAGAGGACAAGAACTGTACGAGTTCACTTATATGTGGGATATAAAACAAAAAGCAGCAAACAAAGCTGTAGATGCATTCAGCAGCATGGTGATCACCTTGAGGGCGGGGGGAGAGGTAGGAGAGGAGAGGAGGAGATAAAGGGTGATGGACGGAGACTTGATTGGGGTGCTGAACACGCAGTGCAGTGTACAGATGCCATAGTACAGAGTTGTGCACCGGGAATTCATATGATGTTATTAACCACTGTTTCCCCCATACAGTTATTGAAAAGTAAAATTTTCATCCTGTTTAGGACTTACTCAGTTTCTCTATTTGTGGCTCGTGTGTTTCCTGGTCAGCCCAGGGCATTCGTGCATGATGGATGGCGTTATAAAACGCTGGTCCTTTTACACGGGGGAAGGTGACCGGGCACACTGGAATTCACCCACGGAGTAGAGAGCTCGGGTGTTTTCTTGTACACACTTTGGTCAGGAAGTTCTGGAAATCTCCCAGTTGTGTGCATATTTGTGTGGTTATGGCTGCTTCTGGTAACTTGCTTGCTTATTAGAAAAAGAAGATTGCGTTTGAGAGCTAGTTAAGTAAAAGCAAATGCAGCCTTGCCGTCCTCCCGGCACTCGGGGGCAGCACCTCGCTCGCTCGCTCGCTTCCCGCTCCCCTGGGCACCTGCCCTGCTCCCTCTCGGGGGAGAGCCGATGCTGGCGCTCGGCCTGCTTGTCTGGGTTTGCTGGTTGGCGTCGACCTGCTCCTTTTTCTTCAGTCATGAGAAAAGGGGCGATATGAAGAAGCATTCGTGCTTTACAAATAACCAGTAGAGAAAAAAATAGATGGTCTGTGTGTACGGAGAATGTGTCTGTTTGAATCCAGGGCCTCCTTCGTTGGTTTTATAGCTTGAGGCAAAAAATACCCAGCAAGTGTGTCTGTACAACTGAATTATTCTCCATCTGCGCTTGTAAAGCACGAATCGGATTCTCCCGGCAGTGAGATCATTTTGTCCCGGCGTTTGGGAACGGACTCGCACATAACTGTACCCTTGGCGGCCTTGTCATTTTATTCCATTTAGATGTTCCTTCTCTTCTAAGAGCTGCCCGCTGTAAAGTATCAGGACCGGCCCGCTCCTCTGAGCTACCCCGCCAGGCTGTCATTTTGTCACCGCACCTCATAAATGAAATGCGGGAAATACTGAAAAGTGGTGCAATTTGACAACAGCTTTCTAGTCAGCCCTGGTATTCGCCTCCTACGTGCGCATTTTCAGCATTGTTCGTTCAGCCTGGTGGAGGCAGCCTTGACTTCTCTTGGAGATTGGCAGCGAGGGTGGAGAACCTTCTGTAAAAGTACAATTAGAATGCATTTTGCTTTCATATGTGTGCTCTAACACTGTGTTTTATGAACTGACGTTTTCCTTCGTAGAGTGCTTTATTACACATCTGAGTATATATAAGATGGTTTTAATTTTCCTCCCCCGCTAGGTGAGATGAGGAATGACTTATACATCACTATAGAGAGGGGGGAATTTGAGAAAGGAGGCAAAAGTGTGGCCAGAAACGTGGAAGTGACGATGTTCATTGTCGAGAGCAGCGGCCAGACCTTGAAGGTATGATAATTTTTTGGTAAGACAGTTCCATCTCATTGCTTTGGGTTCATCGGTAAGGAGCTCAGCTAACTTCTGATTTGCATTATTTCTCGTCTTTTTCTTCTCTACCCTTGTGTGTTTTTAAAATCATTAAAATGCCTTTCAGAAAGGAAAAGTTGAAAAGCCGAGATGCTCCTATAGTTTAATCATATCAACAATTTTCTCGCAGCAGTTATTCTGTAAACACAATATTTTTATGCCATTTCATATTTTCCCCTTTTATCTGAAGTAGTTCTGGAGGTGAATACTTTCTTTTGGCACTTGGTAAAAATGAAAACGAAAACCAAAACATCGCACCTTTACCCCTGTTTCCATGCTGACCTGACAAAGGAGTGAGGTTTGGGGCACGAGGGAGGGCCACGGGGCCTCCTGGGGGAGATGTGTTCCGTGTGACCCCGGGGCCCACGGGGCAGCTCTCACTGTGGAGGCAGAGACCTTTGCCTCTGACCTGACCTTCACGTGGGGCTGGCAATTGCCCGTCTCACCCGCGTGCCCGAGGCCCGCCCTTGGCACTGGAGGCCCCGGGGCACTGGCCTCAGAAGGAAGCAAGCGCAGCCGGCTGGCAGGTCACGCCCCGTGACACGGGGGTGACTTGGGGAGCAGGCAGGTTCAGCGAAGCAGCTGCTCGTCTGCTTCCGCAATAATCTCCCGGTGGAGCTGACTTGAAACGGCCTGTTTTCTCCGCTAGGACTATATCTCCTTCGGCTCCGGAGAGCCCCCCGCCAGCGAGTACCACTCCTTCGTCCTTTATCACAACAACAGTCCCCGGTGGTCCGAGCTGCTGAAACTGCCCATCCCCGTGGATAAGTTCCGGGGCGCGCACATCCGCTTCGAGTTCCGGCACTGCTCCAGTAAGCGTTCGGTGGGCTGGCGCTGTCGTCCTGGGGCGGTCCGCTCGCTGCGCGGTGATGCAGTGAGGGCCGACGTGCAGGCTGCGTGTGGTGAGCCGGGGCCCCAGGGCCAGTGGTGGCCGGAGAGATGAGCGGGCACTTACTTGTGAAGAACCAATGACTTCCGTGGAAAGAGGGGAAAAAAAGTGCCCGTGGGAATCTACAGCGTGCTCTTTAAATTGATCACTTTCCTTAAAATCAGTCCATCACTTTCATAGTCTAGAAACGTTAGGCAGAAAGGGAAGACACAGCACGAAAAACATGACCGGTTCTGGTGGCCTTAGGCGGCCCTGGCACATCATGCGGTGCCTCTCCTTTCAGGAGCTCATCCAGCTCTCAGCTCAGGGGAACCTGCTAGGACTTCCCCAGGTGTGTAATGTCGCTAGGAAGGCCTCTGATTGGCTCAGATGTATATCTCATTTGCATATAGCTGCATCACCATGCGGCCTCAGCCACTGTTCAGATGAGAATCCAGTCAAGTCAGTCCTAATGGTCCTTAGAGGTGATGGGAAGTGAGGGCCTCGTATTACAGGTCTGAGAACCACCCCCAAGGCCTGGAGACGTCACAGGATCGTCTGTGTAAACAGTGCTACCCAGAAACTCGCCATCCCTTGCCATCTCCGTTTTCATTCTTTTGCACTCATTACCACCTTCTCAAGTCCCCCCCTTGCCCCACCCCCACCCCCCAGTTTGGGGACCTGCTGGTATTCCCTGTGTCATTGAAGTGTGCCCTAGACCTGACCGGAAGTAGCAGGCCCCTGTGCAGTCTGGAAGGAATGGAGGCGTGGCCAGTCCCCATGTGGTGACGTCACCTGCACGCTGTCACACATGCAGGACTCAGGGAGAGAAGGACCTTGTCCCTGGGGCTAGAGCATATTTCAGAATTGGCTCAGGGGTAAATTAGCTTTTGTGGGCGTTTCAGAGTGGAGGGAGAAGACTAGCAGGGTCTTACCTTTCTCCCAAGTCCCAGAAGTGCTCACGGCCCCACAGGCTCTCTGTCTGCACCCCGGGGCTCTCAGGAAGGCGGTTCCCAGGGCAGAGCTCAGAGGCTCCCCTTCCGCGAGCAGGGAGCAGAACGGTACCTGTCGCGTGCTCCTGCCCGCGCGCTCGCTCACCTCTGCACACTGAGGGCCGACTGGGTGCCTGGCACGGTTTGAGACACCAGGCTGAGAATGAAATAACAGCGAAGCACCCTGCCCTCCCTGGGGCTTGCGTCCAGCAGTGGAGGGGGGATGTGAGAAGACATGGCAATACACGAATTTAAAAAAATACGTACCATTTCAGATAATGTGTCCCTTGAAGAACATTAGCCGAGAAATGTGACTTGCGGAGCCAGGGGCGGGCACGTGGGGCTGGAGGGCAGGGGCTCCATGGCCGTCAGAGCGGCTGGTGAGCGCGGGTCTGTCTGCCTGATGGGTAATCACTCTGCTTCACAACCTGGGCCTCCGACCAGAGTTGTGTGAGCAGGTGCTTCAACAAGCAAGTAAGGCGTCTTCTCTTTCCTTTTCCCCCACAGCGAAGGAGAAGGGCGAGAAGAAGCTGTTTGGTTTCTCCTTTGTCCCCCTGATGCAGGAGGACGGTCGGACCCTTCCCGACGGCACCCACGAGCTCATCGTCCATAAGGTAACGCGGGCGGACGTCGTGATGGCTGCGGGGGACGGGCTGCGCGACTGGCCCACGGCCTTAGCGTTTCTCTGCTGGAGACACACTAGCGACTGGGAAGAAGGCTCCTTTGGAATTGCTGGCAGGGAGAATGCGTCTTTGAAAGCATGGTGGTTATATTCCGTGCCGTGTTCTGAAACACGCTGTAGAGGTGATCCGTTTTATCATCTAAATGTACGTGTAGGGTCTGTGTTGACCTCCGCGTCCTTTCCACGGCCAGGGTGGGATTAAATAAGCCTTACAAATGGGTTCTCCTGCAGTCGGGTACGCGCTTCCGCATCTAGAGCTGCGCCCCCCGGAGGTCAATGGACAAGGTCAGCAGTGCACTTCCCCGTCTGCTGCTCTCCCCAAGCACGCAGGGGGTGGCCGTACTTTGTTATGACAGCTTTAGCGGCTCTTACTTTCTATTGTTTGCGTCAAAATGTGTCCTAAGAACATTGGGAATGAAGCATCCCACAGTAGGCAGTAAAAGGAAACTTTACAAAGCACAGAATCCTTAGATGTCATCTGAGAATACTAGTAACTGTCTCTACTTTGAAGAGTGACTTCAAAGTGCTTACAGTGTTAAAATACAAAGACAAACTGCTTTAAAGCAGAGCAAGCAGTGAAACAAGCCGAGGAGCCCCATGTCCCAGCCGCCCAAGTCGACCATCGCGCGGTTAGGTGACAGCCCCTCGCTTAGATGTCGAGCGTGACAGGCGGCGTCTTCTACAACAGTTTTCCAGAAGACGTGACAGCACTCTGTGCACGTGTTGTGCTGTTGCCTCTGGAGAACTTGAAATCGTAACTCAGGAAACACAGGGCTAAGGTCCTTCCATGGGGAGCCCGGGTGACTGATGTCACAGAGGAGAAAGAATCCCTTCTTATGACACATCAGAGCGGGGCAGCTCTGGGTCAGAGGGTGTCTGGGGGCGGCGGCTAAGTTTCCAGTTGCATTCAGGTTCGCGCCTCTAGGTGACAGTGAAGAATAGCAGGAGTCTTTACTGCTGCTCGGGGACCGTCGTGCACTTGAAATGCCAGGCGGGCAGGTGGCGGAGCCTGCTCCTCCGTGGGAACCGCGCGGAGGCTGGCTGCTCTGCGCTCCCGGGGAGCTGACCTGTTCCTGTAACCAGGGGCCTGTGGGCTGACCGCTGTGAGCAGAGCCAAACTTTCTCAGAAACAAAGTGTCGAATCCTCTGGAGCCCTTGCCTGAATTTTCCCCGAGGATCCCAGATTCCGATTCCTGAAGCGGAGGAGAACGTGTTTGGGCTGGAACAGCTTGAAGGGCAGGCGTTCCTGGTGACCCTCCCCGATCGCAGAGGAGGCCTGGGACAGTGTCCGTGGAGTGACGCTCGGGGAGACCGGCGTCGTGTGGGCCCACGGGGAGGCACTGCTCCCCGGAGAGCCCTACGGGGCTGGCTTGTCTGGTGGCAGGCGTTGTCCTGCGTGGCTCATTTACTCAGCTTCTGCGTGAGGCCTGGCAGTTCATGACCAGGAAACCAGACCATGAGCCTAGTGCAGGCCTTCCTCTGCGTGGCAGGAAGGCACACGCCCGCTGATAACTGCGGCTCTGAACGTCACTGCTTTTTTAAAAAATGGGGAAAAAACGATGAGAGAGGAGTGGATTTTGAATCGATGGGGAAAATACGTAGACTGTTTAGTAAGAGGTGTCGAGGGGGACGGAAGTGAAGAGCGAGCTGGATCCACATTCCAGATTCGGTGCGAAAACAAAGAACTGGAAGAGCCTTAAAACTATGACTGGACATTTTTATAATACTTTGTAAGGCTGGCTCAAATGTTAGAAACAACTGCAAAACATTGTGAATTTGGCTATATAAAACTGAAAGCCTAGTTTTTTTATGGATAGAACCATCCTAATCGAGGCTGAAACACATGACGAACGAACAGAGCTGCGGGCCAGCTCACAGAAGGCGATGAGTCCCAGTGGGCTATGAATTGTCACGGGTCAGTACGGGAAAGGAAAACTGGTAAACGCTACAAACCAGTTATTCCAAGCAGTAAATGCGAACAGATGAAATGAATATATAGGAACAATCAAACGTAAGTTAAAGAGTAAGAACTCTTCTGGCCTATTACATGGCGAAGATTTTTAAAACCCAGAATTGGACAGTTTCCTTAGGGGGACATGCACACCGTCTGCCCTTTACAGAGGACCTGGGAATGGGACTGTCTTTCGGGGGGCAGCTGTCAACACACAGACCGTTTTAAACGTGTGTGTCCTTGGACTCGGCCACCCCGCATCTTGGCGTTTATGGGAGGAAGGCAATCAGCCAAGGTCAGCGGTGATTCAAGGATGGTCACTGCAGGGCCCCTAAACTGTGGAAAGTGACGAATAGCCTCGTTCTGGTTGAGTAGCGTACAATGACTGAAACTCTACGTATTCAAATTAAGTTGAGGGGAAATTTTTATGTGCACAGAAGAATGTTTATACTGTATTAATGACCCACATTTTGTAGAAGCACATATTCATGTATGTAAACATGTGCATAAAGTATATTTATGTATATAAATAAGCAACACAGAATAACCCTACTATGTATGTATTTATGTAGATCCTTGGAAGGGTGTCCTAAAATATTAACACTACCTTCAGTTTTATTTTTACATTGTTTATTTTTTGTTAGTGGTCAAGTATTATTTTATAACATTAAAGCTTTTATTCATTTTGAAAAAACACATTGGAAGACACAGAAATTTAGTTTTGTATCATTTAATTTTGGAGTTTTATCTAACTAAAGACCATTCTTCTGTCATATAATCTTGACGTTAATGTTTATAGTAAGGTTTTAAAGAAACATTAATTGGCTTTGCTCTTTTTAAACCATATTCTGTGTCATTTATTGACAAATACTGTCTATAAAATCAAGGGGTGGTAAGAGATGGGGGGAATGCTCTAAAAAGTGTTTTATCTTGTTTTCTTATTTTACTGCATTCTGGTAGGATCATCTTCTTCTTTAACTTTGTAGGGATATTTTTGGCTACCCCCCTCCAGCCACCTGCTGGAAAACAAGTTAAGAAAAGAGACTGAAATAATGAGTGTAAGAGAATTCATTTTCCAAAAGTCAAGTCTCTTAAAGAGAATGATGTGAGAATCTAGAAAAGGAAGGTAGAACTAAAGAGCTGTGTCCTCAAGTCCTCCTTCCGACCTCTCCCACGGAAGGATTTCTAGTTTGGAAATGTATTCGGAACACCTCCAGGTCCAGTATATGTGTGCGAATGAATGAATGTATATATACCATAAACAAACAACTGAGCAAGCAAACAGATAATAATAATAATAGCAATAATACAGTCTACCTTTGAGACATTAGGGTTTTGCGAATTCAATGTTGTTGATTATCATCACCATAATGTGAGCCAGGCTGGGGTTTTGCTTATTAGAGATTCGACTCCTTACGGTGAGATTTATTGGCTTCCCAATCGAGTGCATCTAAGCATCTAAGCAGGAGAAGGGCCAGGAGAGAGACGAGCCAAACAGGATGTCCTGTTTCCTGGTTGGAGAGGGGCTCGTTTAATGCGGGAAGCCTGCCCTGCAGGAGCCTGTGGGTAGAGGTTTGCTTTCCCACAGTCAGCTCAGCCCTCGTGCAAGGTGGTCGTCTTCTGGTTGACCTGTCCAGTGCTCCATCTTCTCGCTTCTTGGTCCCTTCAACTCCAGTGACCTTTATTTGTGTTTTCCTTGGGCCTTGCTTCATCCCCAGCCAGCAGGACCCCCCCCATGTAGATGCTAAATAAATGATGGATGGATGGAGGGAAGACTGTATGAAATTACCCAGAAGCACTTCTAATCAATAATCTTAAGTTCCCCGTATTCTGGCATGACCGGTCAACCTTCCAATTTCCTGACCATACCTGGTTTTCCCGTCTGCTCCCCAGCAGACCCAACTGACTTTCCTTTCTCCCTCGCCTTGCTCGGGGTACCCTCGCCCCTTGGTTGGGCTGCGCCTGCGTGGGAAGGAAGGCCGGTCGCTGGGGCAGTCCGTCAGCACGGCCCCGTCCCAGCCAGCTGAGTGCTGCCGCAGGAGATTATACCGTTGTCCCAGGCTGGCATCAGCCTGGTGGCCGCAGAGGCAGGACCATCAGTGCTGCAGGCAAACTCATCAGCTCCTCCTCTGTCCCCACGAGAGCCATTTACGGGACTTCACCATTCAGCCTACCCCACCGCTTCCTGTCAACTTAACAGAGAAAACAGAAGCCACCAGACAGGAACGACCTTCATGTCCTGTGCGCGCTCCCTTGCCCCCTGCAAGCGTGGCTGCCTCCTGCGCTCCCTTCCTGCTTCCTGTCCTGGGGGCTGGGGCAAGATGCCCTCTCCCGAAGGCGAGTCTTCCTTCCCCCGCGTCCTTCAGGCTCTTCCTGCCCCGCTCTCCCCTGGCCCCGACCGCGAAGCCGTGCCCCTGCCAAGGTGCCCCCTTCCTTCCGGGTCAACAACCGTTTCTTCTCTTCCGCAGTTTTCTCTCAGGTTATAGACATGCCTAGGCCCTCCTCTTTAAACAAAAATGAAAATTTTTCCTGGCCCCCACGCTCCCTGACCTCGCCCCGTCACAATCGGCCTGTGTGAAAAGCCACTGTTCAGTCACTGTCTCTGCTTTCTGAGCTCCTGTTTGTGCCCAGGCTGCTTCTGTCTGCACCGCTCAAATGGCGTTTCCCCCTCCAGGTCCTCGGCGCCCACCCGGGGGCTAAAGCCCCTCCCAGAGTCTGCCCTCACCCGACTTCCCAGTTGTGTGCCCCTGGGTTCCTTGTCCTCCCTCGGGGAGCCTCGCACGCCTGGCTCTGCCTGCCGCTGTCTTCCCGCTCCCGGGCGGCCCCTCTCTCTCACCTGCGCCGCACGGGTTAGTGTGGCCGTGGCTTTTCTCCTCCGACGCCCTCTGCGTCGCCCGCACTCGGGGAGCACCTCGTCCGCACCCAGGCTTCACTTGCCGCAGCTCTGCTCCCGGCGCCAGGTCTGCGTTTCCAGCCAGAGC